TCCTGCTGTCTATTAAGATGTCGTCTGAGCAACAGATGAGAGCGTCAAATAACCTTTGAATAATTTCATCAGAAGTTTAAGATAGTTTTACTAGGGAATGATGCTAAAATGAGAATACCCCTAATAGGCATTCCTAATCTGTAATGTCTTTTCACTTTCAGTGAAGTGTATGTTTTTACTTTAAAAATGAGCTGAGTGCTCACTAAGTACAGTTACTGCCTATGTGAAGTTTTTTTTGCTTTTTGTTGGGTTGGGATTTTTTTTGTTTTGGTTCTCTTGCCCCTCCCACCCCTCCACCACATAGCATAGCCAAGCAACTGAACACAGGTAGATAACATATTTCCTTGTAAGTGCCAATTTGCTGGGGATGACAAGAGTCTCAAAGGAAGCATGAGCTTGAAGAGCACAGGTTGGGGGCTGGGTGGATGGAGTTAGGTCCCTTGATGGACTGGGTGGCAGAATTTGGTAGGGGTGCAAAGGCGGCAAGGATCATGGAGTTGTGATCCTACTTCTGGGATCTTTGACAGTGCGCGTGGCAGGAGGATATGGAAGGAGATAACACCTCCTGCACATGAATGTGGATTTACACAGACCATATGTCTGACTCTATTATCACTGCTATTGTTATCACTGGCTGGGGTGCAGGTGTTGTTTGCAAATTCTGCAGAGTTTGGGAACCCAGCTGTGGTAAGTTGGAGACCACTTTCACACCTTGCTTGGAGCAGCTTGTGAAGCAAATCCCTAAGAGCTTCTTCACTCCTGTTTTGCAATGGAATACTCATAGTAGAGCTTTGTCTTCCTTAAATGGCAGGCTTTGTAATCTGAGTCACTTTTGTGTGAGTACACACAATCCTTTAGGAGTACAGGATTGGTACAACTCATTTGTTACTCCAGATAGATAAAAGTAGCCTATATCTATAGTTCTTTTAACTTTTCTGATTGCTGTCACAGAATAGAAATGATTATGCTCTGGGATAGCACAGATCTCTATATCACTCAGGCCTTATTATCAATATGTTAACAGTAGATAAAAAAGTGGTCCTTTTGAATAGGAGCTAATTTCACATCACCTTGGAATAGCACTTTTTTTTTTTTTTTTTGTACTTTGTGCAATTATATTCTTTAGTTTTATTACTATGTCTCAGAATAAGGTAACGAATCTGATAATCAGTTTTATTTTATTAGGTCTGTTTCTGTTAATTAAAGAGCACTTCTTCCGGTGAGAAGCAAGTCAGTGATGGCAACAGTCAAGTAACATTTGTCTTACATGGACACATAGGCATTCTAAAATTTTTCATCTCTTTACTATCTTTTTAATGCTACATTAACTTTGTAATGTATTATTAATAGATTATCACCTATCCATGTCTTTAAAAAATTAATAGTATCAATGCATGTATCTCAGTTCTCATCATCTTGCTTTTATTAATCTAAGACAGAGAAATAATTTTCAAGCCATGATTCAGAGAAATTATTTAAATTACAAGTCAGCTATTACAGATTGACACTCTTCCTTTGGTAATAGAATCCTCTGCAGTGGAATTCCTACAGCTATTGTGGTCCATTACAAGCACAAGATTACATCTTTCCACTTGTCACTAATTCTGCATTTTGGCAGGGAAAAAAAGAAAGGTTTGCTGTTAGAGTGTTGCCAAGCAACCAAAATATGAATTACTCCAATTTCTGGATTTTTCTTGTCTGATGTATATCAGAGGGTTTCTCCTACCTTGGTGAGAGACAGGCTAGATGAAGTTACACTCTATAGCTTTACCATTTCTAAGATTAGTAAGTAGCTTAATTTTTCCCTGTGGAGTTCTGTTTCAAAACCAAAGACACATTTTTTTGTTCCCTGTAGATAGTTATCAAAAATCAGGACACAGGTAATCATGTCTTCACAAGACATGAGATTGCGCATGTTTTCTCCTTTTTGTTTTCTGAAGTCAAATTTCTCTTTCTGAAATGCAAAGCTTGTTTCTGTCTCATTTTCACTTGTACTTAATTGTTTATACCACTATTTGAATAAAAAGGATGGAAAGTCTTGGAGTGGACAAAGATAACTTGCTGTGTCTTAATAGTCCTGCGTGCTGTTACTCATCTTTGCTGTTACGTGGTATATATTCCCTCTTAAGTGTCTTTTTCCAACACAATTGACTGAATCTTGACCAAGGTGTGTGGTAAGATTTATGCTTGCAGATAGATGGAGAGAGAATAAACGCTCATTTTATTGTCCTGATTTTGTTGTACATTCCTGTAATATTTTACTTCCATGGAGCTTTTTTAATTTTGCAGTAGTAGGCACAGGTTTCCTGTGGAACTATGTGGATTTCAGGGTAACCTCCCACTTTTGTCATTGATTTCCTCTTAGGGCACATGCCCAGCACGGAGCCACACCTTCTTTCTGGATTCCTGATCTGTGTTTTATGTGTAGGGATCCAGGAAGAACCTCAGCAGCAATATGGAGAGTACTTGTCTTTCTGTTGCCCTTCATGGCCAGGGTGTATAACAGTAATTGGATAGTATCAATGCATGGCATAGGAGATGGTTTCCTGGTGACATTGGGTTTGTATTCATGTCTGCAACAGTGTAATAAAATATTTGCTTATGTCTGTACAAAAATATTTTGGATGACTTGCTTTGAAAAATGTCTGCCTGTTTGATCAGACCTTGGGGTTCTCAGGTATGAATGCATATTCTAACCAGATCATTGCTCCATGTCTGGGTGAGATCAAAAATGCACCAACCTTCCTGATACATCAGTTTCCAATGAGAAGAAACTTGGATGTATGGGTCAGAGAAGAGCTACTTGCTGCTTTGAAAAGGTGCTTGTTCTGAATGGTTAAATGAACGGTATTCAGATTGTTTTGGGTAAATTTGAGCAGGTAGTGGAAGTTGAGTTGTTTAACATAAATTCCGGTGGAAGAGTGACTGTATAGGTGAGGAGCACTTCAGACATGAACATTTCATAGGCCAAAGCTAGCGGCAGTTTGAGGAATGTGTGTTTCCAGCTGTTTCCTTAGAAGTTGAAAACAGGCTTTTCCTTGTAAATGCTTTTTACATTTTGTTAATACAAGATTAGTTTAGGTGCAATATCCCACTAATTTTTTGTTTTGTTTTAATTTTCTAAAGGAGTTGATGACCAAGCTGATAACAGAGACACCTGACCAGCCAATCCCGTTTCTAATTGATCATCTTCAGTCCAAACAGGGGAACCGCAGTCAGCTTCAGAGAACGTTGTCTGGCTCTGCTGCCCTTTGGGCAGAGAGTGAACCATCAGGTATGTTGTGTATGCTGGAAAGGGCTAGTCTCCAATATAATCTTCCCAAACTTTGATCCATGATTTCCTGGATGCACATGTACCTACTGAACTGGTACCACTCTGTGGTTTTGAGCATGCACAGTAAATCCTGTTTGTCCAGTAGATAATGAATTTAATATACGTTGTTGGCTATCAGCTCAGCCTACTCACTGATCATATGAGTATGGGTCAGAGATACAGGGTGGAAAAAATCCCAGTCTCAAGGAGAAAGAAGGTGCATATAAAGGTGCCTTGATTCCCCTGCTGTCCTCTTTGCTTTCTCTTTGCTTTGTTTTCCTTTTCCCTCCCGTTGGTGTATTTAGCCTCTATTGAGGTATTTTCTTTAATAATACACTTCTTTTTAACAACCTATCATTCCAACACTTAAAGAGAAGATGCTATTACTACTTTATGAACTCCAGTGTGAATAATTTATGATTGTAGATCTTCAGAAACATAAACATAAATAATATAAATAATAATAATATAATAAATATCTGCTCTGATTCTAAAGTAGAAATTTTAGCTTTGATATTCTGGTACAAGCTACTATTAGAATGTTGGGTTTGTATATAAAAATTGACTGATGATCTGTTTCAGACAATAATAGATCTCACATAGTTGCTGATAGTCAAAACGTTAGTTGCTTGACAAATCAACTTTTTATTTATATGAAGTGTAAACTTTTAAGCATAGGCAGTCAAACACGTAAGAGAATAAATGGAGGTTAAGGACTTTTTCATAACAAAAAATAAGATGTTATGTTTTTAATGAAAAACATTAATGAATTTCTAAATTTTGATGTTTAGAAAATGGAAGAAATATATGAAATTTAGCATAAATCAGAAATAGGAGAACAAAAAGAGCTGACTTTGGTTTGGACTGATAGGTCTTGTTTTTTCTGGGTTAATTGTTTATTAAGTCTTCAAAAAATGACCCTACAAATGTTATAATTGCCTGATTTGATTCTTTTAACAGAAAATAAAGGAACAAGAAGAGATTTTAGAAGTTATGATAAACCTTGGCAGGTAAATGCAAAAAAGCCTAAAAAGTCAAAGAGTGACCTTGCCGTGTCCAACATTTCTCCACCGTCACCGGAGTCCAAGTCATGTAAGAAAGCTTCACTACCTTATTAATTCGTGCATACTTCCAAACCCATAGTATGTTTTTCTGTTGAATTAGGATTAAAATGGAAAGCAAACTATGAGCAATTGAGAACGCCAGATATATGTGGTAGAAGAGTTTGATTCTTGCTTTACTTTCAGTTGAATTATTAATATAATATTATCCTGTATTGTCATCTATAGATAGAATAGAATTCTGTTCCTGTCATCATACTGCATTCTTCTCCTCCCTCCCTGTGCTTGCACTTCAGACTCTGTGATACACATCAAGTAACTTCCATGCCACCTCCTAAAGATCCCAAGTTCTCAGTCTTTATCCCAGATGGATCTGTGACATGTCACTCCATTTGTGTGCCTACTACAAGTTTCATCCTTGTTGGTCCTTAGGTTGTCCAAGGAGCGGGACAAAGACGAGGCTGAGCACTCTAAGCTACCAGGTCACATGTCAAGCAAGGAAATAATTCATACATCTGTAATAAGACTGGACTCAAGGATCTGTCCTTGCGGGCTGAAGGGCATCTAAAAATGCTCTTCAATTGGTAAGGCTTGCTCTCAAGCTACCCAAGGCCCTAAGTCTAGAAGCAGCATTTGTGGGAGTGCAGCTTTACTCACAACAGAGAAAGATAGAATTAGGGGGTGCTTAAGGCAGTTGGACATACATAAATACATGGCACTATATGGGATTCATTCTGAGCATGCTGCGAGAGGAGACTAATGTCATTGTAAGGCCATTCTATCATCACCAAAATGTCATGATGATTGTGGGAGGTTCCTGATGACTAGGAAAAGGCAAACCACATCGATTTTTGAGGAGAGGCAAGAAGGAGACTTCAGGGACTACAAGCTGATCAGCATAACCTTGCTCTCTGGGAGGGCTGTTGAGCAAATTTTCCTGGAAGTTGTTCCCAGCCACAAGAAGGAGGACAATCTGATTGGGAACAGCAGGCATGAATTTATGAGATCATACATGTCTGATCAGATCAACCTGATTGCCCCCTTTAGATGAAATAACTGGACCTGTAATCAAAGAGCAGTGGATGTTTCATACCTTGACTTCAGCAAAACCTTTGTCAGTCTCCCATAGTATCCTTATAACTCAGTTGGTGAGATATGGACTGGATAAGTGGACAACAAGATGTGTGGAAAGTCGGATTCAAGGGATTGTGACTGGCAATGCAAAGTCCAGTCAGAAAGCCTATCACTAGCGGCATGCTTAAGGGACTGGTACTGAGACCAATACCATTTAAAAGTCTTTCTTAATGTCCTGGATGATGAGGTAGAATGTTCTCTTAGCAGGTTGTCAGGTGAGACCAAATTGTGGGAAGCAGTTGGTATTTTGGGTAGCAGGGCTGCTATTCAAAGCGACCTCAACAGGATTGAGGAATGGATTGAGAAGAACCTCATGAAGTTCAACACAGGCAAATTCAAAATCCCGCATCTTGGAAGGAATAACCCTGAGCAGTAGTATAAAATGGGGTTTGAATGGCTGGAAAGTCGCTTTGCAGAAAAAGACCTGGGATGCTGGTGGACAAGAACTTGAATATGAACCAGATGTAGCTGTGTGCTCTTGCAGCACTCAAGGTGAGCTGCATACTAGGCTGTGTTAGCAAGAGTATAACCAGCAGAGTTTGTCTCACACTTTTGAGATGGCATCTGGAGTATGTCATGCTAGGCAATGGTGTACTGGAGCAAGTCTAATGGAAGTACACCAAGATGATGAGAGGGCTAGAGCACGTGATGGACAAGGAAAAGCTGAAGGAAATCGGTTTGTTCATCCTGAAGAAATGAAAGCTAAGGGGAGATTTCATTGTCATCATCAACTATTACACTGGAGGGTGGTAGAGAAGACAGACAGATTCTTCCTGAAGGTGTGTGGTGAAAAGACAAGAGGCAACAAAAATTATACTGTGAGGTTGGTCAAACACTGAAACAGGTTTTCCAGAGAGGCTGTGGAATCTCCATCCTGGGAGACGCTCAAAACTCAGCTGGATAGTCTGAGCAACCAGCCCCCAATGGATCAGTTTTGAGCAGCAGGTTGGAGTAGAAGACTTTCAGAGGTCCTTTCAAGCCTAATTATCATCTGATCCCATGCTTTTCTGTTTATGCCCTTTCCTATTTTTTTGTCCATACCACTGTTGTAAACCTTGATTCCTCCTATTATTTTCATGACTTACCCTTGCAAATACTTGTCTCTGAACTTTTTGAAAATACCTTATGTATTTGAACGACATTTTTTTAATTGCTATCAGAGAGGCTGGTTTCAGCCATGTGCTTTTTTGCCATGTCTTACTTCTCTTATCTTCTGCCAACAAAAATTAATACTGACTTTTTAAGACTTTTTTTGCTGAGTTTTTGCCAAAATCAGTGAATACTGTATGCCCCTTCAGCCACTCAAATCAGCAGAAAGCAAGCATGTTCAGAAGCTGTTTGTTACTCTGTCCAGACATGCACAACATATTCCATTTCTTTTGTGCCTTCAACTTGTACTTGAAAACATTTTTGGGTGTCATTGTACATTTTTTTCCAAAGCCTCTCCAAAGAGGTAGTAAGGACTCATCTGAGAAACAGAATGTTTTGGGCCTGCTGAGACCTAAAGATTTGCTCTCAGAATTGTGTTTCAAACCAACCAACCAACCAACCAACCAACCAACCAACCAACCCACCCCCATACCCAACAAACTAAAAAGCCCCCAAAACAAACCCAAAATTCAATGTAGTCCATCAGCTGTAATACATTCTGTTGCAGAGCTTTTGTCTTACAACTATCTTGTTCAAATGATCCTGAACTTGTAAGTTTATTCGGAACTGAGAATTGTCATTTCATAGGAATCTTTGAAAACATCAAGAGAATTGATTTATTTAATTAGGAAATACTTTCTTTCCTTCAGCAGAGATGATGTTGACTGCAGCATGCATGTTATTCCTGTACAGATACTGCTTCCTTATAAATTCAACTTTTTTACTGGAAAGATTGCTCCAGTCCCTCCTCCTGCCTGTTATGATCTCAGTCGAACCTGAAACAAACACACAAACAAGAAGCCCTGTTATCTAAGGGCTACCGACCACTTGTTTGGTGTGTGCAAAAACATAATTAAGCAGAACTTGCTGTTGTCTGGCAAAGAGGCTTGAAACAAGGGCTCTCTGTGTGTGTGTGCTTGTGTATATATCAATATATTTAATGAAATGTTTAGGCAATCACATTCTGTATTTGAAGAAGAACAAATTCGGAAGTTTCTAAATAGTTTGTGAAACAGACTTCTTTCTTCCCAACTAGCTACTTATAGGCAAAGTAGGTTGATCTCTTCACCACCTTCATATTAAATCAAATCACAGATCATCCTTTCACTCTGATTTGGTTCACCATTCTCACCATATCCCATTTACAATTATAACGTTGTGTACTTGTAATTACCCTTGGTCAGTCTAGGGCTCTAGGCCATCATTCTCTTAGCCTTTTAATATCCAGGTACTTTGTAAAACAGTTTGGCTGTATTATAAATGATTCTAATCTGAATGCTGTTGTGAGATTTAAATGCATAAGTAATTTTATGCTCAATAATCACACACATATTTCTGTTCTTTGAGATGTAAGATGGTCATACAATGGATTAATGAAATGTAAGATTTAATGAGCAACTGGTCTGATTCTGTCTGCAAATCATGTCTTGAAAAGACACGTATATGTAGATAAAACCAGTACTGATCTTGTACCATCATCCAGTAGAAAATAAAGGTCTGCTGATTTGTGACAGAATTCATAACACGTCTGCGAATTAATCTGATGTGCATTTGTTGGGGGGGGTTCACCACCAGAAAATCAGAAATACTGGAAAACACATCTTTGCAGTCTTCTCAGATGAGATGGGGAAATCTCAGCTCTATAAAGGGAAAACCTCAATATTTCTATACAAATGTTACGATGTAGATGTAATAAATCTTCTGAATTGTAGGCAAATAATTTCAAGAGAAAGTGTTGTGTAAATCTCTCAAATAACAGAGTTGAGGTTGAGGCAGGTAATGTGATGAGGGATGTAAAATTACTGACATGATGTTTTTGAGGAATGAGTGAGTATAATAAAGAAGTCAGAATATTATGGAAGGATTTTACTAAGTATGTAGTGACATATGCATGGAAATGATATATGATGGACTTCATACATAGAGAAGAAGATCATGTGTTTCAAAAGATCTCATGGAAGGGTCATATGGTCTTTATAGATTTCTGCATGCTTCATAAAAAGCCATCCATTTGAAAATGACCAATGCTGCTTGATCTTATAGATGGGAAGATACAAGTTTATACTTTAAAAACCAAAATTTTGTAAGCAAGCAGAAAATGAACCTTGAAAGGAGAGACATGCTACATGCTGTAATGAAGTAGATTTTAGTTTTAATATCCATTCATTAGTTGGAAGAGTTGGTAAGTAAGAACAACTGTGTCTTCTCTAGAAGTAATAAACATTTCAGTCATTTGTAATTCTGCTTAACTTCCCCCTCAGTTTTGGTTCAATAGAATGAACCAAACTCATTGTTGAAACAAATTCTGTTTAAACTCAGAAATGTTCCATGACAGCATATCTGCTGTGATACATTTTCACTGAAGTACAAAATGGTTCACTGAAACCCAGACTTTCATACACCAGCATGCAGAGCAGATTTCCACCATGTTTTTGACTGATTTCCCACCATCCATCTAGTGAGATGCAGTCCAAGTTTCCTGTGTTTGTGGGACATTTCTCTGAAACTAGAGACCAGGCCATTGTCTCTTGACAAGTTTCCCAACTTCCCAAGGATAGAATCTTTGTACTCTCATTTTTGTGATGCAGATTGGTCCCTATACTTGGCAGTTGCTGATCCTGGAAGCTCCACAGCTGTTGAGTAGAACTTATGTTTGTTTCATTCAGCTTCGTTCCCATGACAAATTTTATTTCAAAATCGCATGGTTTCTCACAAATTCTGTCCTTTGGTATTTTGAAAAATGTAGTTTATTTCAAATTGACATGTCAAATTCCAGCTTGTTGAAATTTTCTGCAACCTGAAAGCCCTAAGGTTTTTCTTTGTACATGGTTTTACTATATTAAATTATTGCCTGTTTGTATTTTGGTGGTACTGTGAGATTTCTGCAGCATGGTGAGTTCAGTACAGAGAAAGAAAAGTCTGTCAAACTGTTAGTAGGCTAGAGTGAGTGACACTGTAGAATATAGTCTTGGTACACTGAAGGGAGAAGATGACTTGGCTGAAAAAGCAGGCAGTAAAGGAGCATGTGATCTCAATATAAAACAAAGGTGAGTGAAAATAGAGCCACCTCATTATAGAATTTCTTTTCTAGTTTTCTAAATATTTATATTTACAATTAGTAAAAGTTTTGAAAAAATACTAGATGGACCATTTTATTTTCTGTAAATAAGAAAAAGGATGACAAATACTGAAGTCGTGCTGTTTAATTTAATTATGTTACGATCTATGAATGGAGGCAATTTTTGGTCACACAAAAATTTAAATAACTATGAATGAATATAGTGGTTCCTTAACCAGGGAATTTTAAATTAAATTATTGGCATTTAAAAGTATCAACGAAAATTATAAGCTGTCCATCTGAGTAGAGGCTGGTCATACCCTAATACCTTAAGGCCTATATCTATTCACTAGGAACCACCATAGCTCATTACTTCCATTGTCCTCAGAAGGAAAGACATGACTTGTCTTTTTTGAACGCAAAGGAGAACTGGACTCTGACACTCCAAATTCTTCCCCTCTTCGCTTCTCTTTATTGAGGCTTCCTGTGTCTCTTTCCTCCTACTCTTATCTCTGTAGGTCATTTTTAATGTCTCCTTTGTCTTCTGTCTTTGAGAATGTCTGTAATTGCAGTCTAATGTATTAATTTCCCTAATACTTACCCAGGTTCCTGACTGGGTGTTACAGATCAGAATATTCTCTGGGTTGTCAGACTCTGTATAGGTCTGGTGTGAAGATGGCTTGGTTTATGTCTATGGGCGATGGAATCACATTCTTTGTGACAGAAGGACTTAAACATTCCACTGCCCCATTTCTTTACCTGGAAAAGATGGCTATTGACTTAACTTCAACTTTCCCTTGTGGAGTTGATCCAAAGTGGAGCAGATTCTATATTCACACAGAGGACAGTCAGCAATAAAGCAAGTTTCAGTAGCAACAGTTATTTAGCACATTTTGTCATACCTACCAGAACTTGAAGTCTGAGCATAATTTCCCCTTACCATCATAAAAGCACTCTGAAATTCCAAATGATAAAAAGATACCACTTCTTTTTTTTTGCATGATCTGTAGGAGTCTGCAAGTTTGCTTCTTGGCGTGTAATGAAAATGAATTTTGTAAGCGTAAATTAGTTGAGAGCTGTCAAAATAGTAAATAAAAATTTCAAAGCTGGCCAGGATATATTGGACATTATAGGCTTCGTTTTTGAAGATATTTTTAAGTGAGTCATTAGCAACCATTGATAAATGCAACTGATCCTTTCTGTTGGGAATGTGGACTAGGCATCATCATCTTCACACCAGCATGTGCAGTTCTCAGCACAGCAATGCTGTCTTTGGAGACAGCCCAACAATTGCATTTGGTGGTGAAGGCAGCAGATCGCTTAGTTCAGAACACTGGCAAAAAGAACATGTTAAACTGCAGTTCCAGAGACAGCATCATTTTGGCTTTCATTTCTACAAATCGTTCAAAATGTTCATATTAGTCAATGCAGCTGTGTTCCTTGTGGGTCTTACATATCTCAGAAACTCCTTCTCTTCTTTCCTGCCGTTGTAGATAAAGTTAGCTCAGCAGTTGAGAAACCATTATTTTAAAATTAAATCAAAGTCTTGGTAATAGATAATGAATAAGAGACTAAGCTCAAGATTGTGCTTCACAAAGATCGAGTTTGTTTAATTATTAGAATAAAGATTATGGGCTGTGCAGCATGAACAATAGGGACATACTTTGTTTCACTGTTTTTATGAACTGTGTTATCTACACTGTATGATTTTTTTAAAAGAATTGTATATACATGTTGTTTTAAAAGCTTTATCTAAAATATTTATTTTTCCTTTTTGATAAAATCAGTAGGAAAGCCAAAAGTACCAGTTACTCATTTTCATTTTGACATTTTTCCTTATTGGCGCTTAGGACACACTACTGTATTTTCATATAAATGAAGTACCTTTATATGCAATATTTTTGTTACATTTTTCTGTTATTGCATTATTTTAATTATTTTTAATTGTTAATATTAATTATTCCTGTTTACCAACTAATTCAGTCACAAGAATCTACCCAAGTATGCATTTGTTCGTAGATGTTTTCATTTTTACTTCACAGTGACTGAAGAAAGTATTTCCAGCTCTTAAAATAGGAGGATAGTTAAGTAATTTCCACTCAAGTTACTTGAGCTTGTAAACTCATTGTGCAGTTTTTTTTTCTACTGTAGGAGTCTGAACTACCAAATCTAAACTTCATCTATATATCTGTGTACATTTAGTGCCAAGGTCAATAGAGCATCCTAAATGGGATTGGAGGACAAAACCGGAGAACCATGATTTTGATGAACTAAATCATATTCTTCAAGAGAGCAAAAAACTTGGAAAAGCCCTTGAGAATCTGTCTCGCAGTAAGTTGATTGATTTTAGTTTTTTAATGTAACCATGCAGCCTGAATTGTAATTTGGAGGTACATATCAAGAAGGTGGTCTTCTACTCAATGAAGACCAAGTTCATTGACATCAGCAGTTACATTCCTGATGATGAGGTTTACAGAATGTCTGAGATAATTTAGCAGCTCTCCTGCTGACTGCAACTACTTTCCCTGCACCTCCTTTTTTGTTACATTAGTTTTCTGCCAGTTTAGTGAGCTGAATTATCTCATCAAGAGATCAACACAAGAGGCCGGTTTACAGAAAATGGTGGGAACGTGCAGCAATGAGACTGCTCCTTTGGGAGGTAGCAGTTAGAATCGATTAGCCTTTGTGAAACCTTAACCTCATTGGTGGAGATCAGACCTGTCATTGAAAAATAATTAGGTGTTTTGTATCCTTGGCCCCAATTAATTCCTTCCAGTTTTCAAAAGCAATTCAAAGAAATGTTTAACGCATCTCAAATAAATACCCAAAAACATGGTAGCCAACTATTTCGTAACGAAACTGAAGTATTATCCCTTAAAAGACAAAGTCAAACAGGAGCAGTGTTTAAAAGTAGCATGCTCATGTAAGGACTAGCTCTGAGAATTACTGGATATGATGAAGATTAGCGCTTTTTTTTTTCTTTTTCTTTCCTGGAGAAGAGAATTCTGAGGTACATTGGTGGGAGCATACACTACTGAAAATTATTGAAATATGAAAAGTACTCTCTGCCATGGTACATGAAAACTAAGTATGTACCGTGGTCTGGGAGGCATTTGAATGAGAAATATTTTCTTTCTCCTCTCATTAAATTTTGTCCGTGGCACTTCTTGATTCACTGGAGAAATTGCAGATGATGAGATTAGAAACAGAGCTGAATAAAGAATGGAAGATCTGTTTTGTGGAGAATTTTGAAATTCAGCATTCTTCTAAATTCTGTCAAATACCAAAAACTAGTTTGCCCAAATTCCTTCTCTCCCAAATGATTTAGGTTGATCACAACAATGACATTCTGACCGATTTTCATATTTATATTAATTATAGTAGTATAGTTACAGGACTCTTCTCAAATTCATTTCTAGTAAATTGGTCTGTCTGCTTCTAAGGAGCTAAACCACCTCCAATGAGGGGCTCTGATTTGCAGCCCCACCATTGCCTGGCTGTGTTACTGTGATGGGTGTGACTGTCATTTTCAAGCCTTTCTCCTTTAGAGACTTCTAACCAAGGTTAACACAGATACAGGAACTGTTTGGTTTTTTTTTTTCAGAAAGGGTTATTTATTCACTGTCTGGAGATACAAACCAATCAGTGAGAGTTCAATAATAAAGGGCTAAATCCATTCTTCAGTCCTACATCTTTGTCTTTCCTTGTGAATATTGTGTAGGTTCCACTGAGCTCTGGCTTCCTTATACCTAAAATACAGTTTGCAGCATTTTGTACCTCTCTTTGCCACAGAGTTTTCTAACTGCAGCAAAACACTGCAGCTCTTCTGGGTCCTATACTTGGACTGGAGGTGAATGTACCTGGTCAGTGTTGTTGGAGTCAGATTTTCATAGAGTTATTTCACAAATTAAACATTCTTCACTATTTCTTGCTAGTACTTGATGTTTTCTGATGATTTATCAAGATAATATGGAATTTTAATCCTGTCCCCCAGAGTGCTTTAAATCACTTGCAGCCTGATACTAAGTTCACTTTCATAAATGTGCTCTCTATTTCTTCATCCAGATCATTAACGGAAATATTGTCAGGCCTCTTCATGATTCCATTTCAGATCTGACAACCAGCCCTTGAAAGCTACTCAGTAAGTGTGTTTTTTCCCACCAGATGTTTATCTACCTTGCAGTGATTTCACCTAGAATGTAATTCTCTAATTTGTTTACTGGAGTATCATCTAGAACAGTAAACAAAGTCTTATTATAGCTGAAGTATTTTACATCTACTTTCTCCTTTTAAACACTAGGCAAGTTTCCCACTTGAGAAAGCAATTAGACTGATTTGATGTGATTCATTCTTGATAAGTTCATGTCGGCTGGTTCTCATCACCTTTCCTATCTGTTAGATGTTGATAAATTGTTTATTTAACAGTTTTGTCAAATATTCTTGCTGCTGTCAGATTTAGGCTTGCTGGTTAGTAGTTCCCCGCATCTTCCCTTTTTTCTTTCTGAAGAAAGATATGATAATTGCCCTTTTCTGTCCTCTCCATTCCTGAAAGACTGTTGCTAATGGATTAGAGGTTTCTTCAGCTAGTTAGTTAAGTGCTCCACAGTGAATTTAACAAGATTCTGCCAACTTGAATGTATCTAAAAGTCATCAGAATATCTTTCAGCTTTCCATCATCTGGCTTGCAGTTTTTCCTCTTGAAATCACTAGCATTAAGCAGCTGGCCACAATTAATTTTTTTGTAAAGACTGAAGCAGTGGAAGTATTGAACACTGGGATCTCTATGTATCATCTGTTATTTGCTTTCCTTCTCTTTGATGTAGTAGTTCTGTATTTTACTTTGTCCTCCTTTCCTAGTGTATTTATAGTATCTTTTCTTGTGGCTTTTTTTGTTCTTTGATAGTTGTTACTCATTTTGCAGTTTAGCCTTTTTGGTTGTATCATGTAAACACTTGCACCAGATTAATTCTAAGCTATATGTCCTTGTTTCCCATTTTTGTACTCCTGATTTTCAGATCATTTCAGGAGATAAATTTGTTCTGTGCTATGACTTCTTACATGTTAGGATGGTATAAAAATTCAAAATTAAAAATGTGAAATGTTTGGGAAAAAAAGAAATTATTTTGAAAATAAATGTGATTTTATTGTTCACCCAAAGGTAGAATACAGATTGCACATAGAAAATATCTTAGAGAGTTTCAGTGAATAGACATGTCTGGAACTTTAGAAGTATAAGACACGTGCAAGTCATTCAGTGCTGTACCCAAACAAGCATCCCATGTAGTGAATTCTACAAAAGTCATGATAAGGTCCCATAGCTACCTTCTCCAGTGTTAATGCTTCTTTTGGGCAGGCTAGTCAGTGCTTTTGATTCTACAAGCATGTCCGTGAAGTCTGTGAGTCTAATGCTGCAGCTGATACTAACCTTGTTTCGAAGCAGTATGGGACAGGCACCGGACTCAACAAATAGTTGAGTACGCAAATGATCACAGCACCCTCTCATTTCATTCAGTATTTTAACAGGGAAGAGTGCCACATAAAAGCAGGTGTTTGAAGTTAATTCAATTTTCCATCGAGTCCTGGAATTCTTTTCCATTTTTAAAGATAAGCTTTGGATCTTGTATTGGGTTTCCAGGGCTTCATTGACTGCTATGCAACTGACACAGCCTGTGAATTAAACTCTAGTTTCTATTGCTTCATTCACTATGCAGTCTAGATATGTGCTTTGGGACAAACCCGTGCCCTTCACACAAAATTAAAACTGCCTGAAAGCTGTGGAAGGTGAGGCTCAGGCACCTGGATGTCTGGTCTCTCCTATGTTCAGTCCTTCTAGTGATTAAAACTATACTTCCTTGTTTTTGGTGCCCTCCTCCCAAGCCCCATCAAGAGGATATGTGAGTAATTCTGTGCTGCAGTAGATGTGAGAAACCAAAAGTGACTTCATACTCAATGTTAAAAGTATGTTATGATTTTTTGAGAGAGTGGAGAAGAGTATTGCCATAATTATAGTGTAAGTGTGTTGGAGCTAGGTGATTTAAGTATGCCATTTTCCAGAGGCCTACTCATGTGGGAAACCTGGGTTTTATTTGCTTCACCAATCAGCTGTCTGTCATTTAAGTTGATTTTGAACTATCAAGTCAACTATTTTGGGGAGATTTTGGTATGTGAAGCAACACACAGGAATATACTGCATTTGCCTTGTGCATTGTTTGTTTTCTTTGGTTGCAAGGTCTCTCATCTTTATTGCCGCCATCCTTTTTCCTCAGCTGATCATAAGTAAGAAAAAAAAGTTCCATGCTGTTTCAAACGTATGCTCTTGTATTTCCCCTTCTGACCTGTTTGCCTTTCACAGAGAGTTAAAATCTCCTGTATAGCTAAGGATCTTGCTCATGAATATACCTGTCTTTACTCCCCATCTTCTGAGGATGGAAAAATAGATGACAGGAGATGGAAAACAGTGAATTATGAGTGTTCTGAGTGGGAAAAATAAGGACTAAATTAGCAAGAGCTAGCTGCAGAATAGATATGAAGTCGGCCTGCTTTGTGAACAACTTTACATCTGTTACATGAACAGTTAAGGATTAGAGTGCATATTGAAAATGTGTGCATATTGGATGTTTCAATTTACACATGGTAACAGCATTTGATGACACTCAATGTGTTCTACTGTGAGATAGGTACTTTTTCATAATTACACATAGCCTTTCAACAGAGATAACCAACATTTTGTTAGTAATTTTTGAATCCATGTTAAGGCCAGGTGTATACTGCAAATCAGAGGGGAAGAAACAAATTTATCATGCTTTGAATTCAATGATATTCTCAGGTCAGAAAATGGTAGTAAGTTAATATTAACCAAAGCTATTTGAGAACCAGTCCAAGTCAGTTAGATGGAGGGAATCCCAGAAATAACAGTATCTAGCTATAACCAAAAAGTACTCTTTTGTTTCTTAATTTGGAAGGGGAGTAATCAGTAATTAGTAAATTAGAAACCCATGTGCGATCTAGTAGGAAATATTACTGGAAACCATAAAGAATCATAGAATCATAGAGTGGTTGAGGTTGGAAGGGACCTCTGGACTTCATCTAGTCCAACCCCCCCTGCAGGACCACCTAGAGCCAGTTGTTCAGGACAACGTCCATGGCTCTTGAATATCTCCAACAACGAAAGATCTCTGAGTCCTTCCAGAGTATCTCAAACAGTTATTTCTCATAATGTTAGAATCAGTTGATGTTGTTTATACCTAGCTTAAGACAGACAAGCATGATCTTAGCCCTTTAAGAAAAACATAAAATAGTGAAATGTAAAAGCCTAAGTTCTGTTTATCTTT